TTCTTGCGACAGCGCAGGCGGCGTCTGGGGCGGAGCAGATCCGCGTCATAATTTGTCTCCACCCCCTTAGGTAATCCCCGACGCCACGGCCGCCTGGCATTAGGCGCGGATTCCGAGCGGACACTTTCCGGACAGGGGGCCATGCCTCACCACCCGGTTTATTTGTATCAGGGAGCCGCGCAAATCTTTTGAGTGGAGATGATGCGCCGCCCCGGGCGATGGGCGATGGGCGATGGGCGAAGCGCCGAGTGCAGGATTGGCGCCCTTTTATCGTATTTGTTCGCTGTCTGGGGCGGATTTTTCCCCAACGCGACTTTGATTGCAGAGCGAGGCGTATTTTCACAACGCGAAATATCGAAGATGTGAAATGTAATGCATCTTTAGAATGCTTTTTGATACTGTTTGGACATTTTTAGGCGCTAAACCTTTGAAAGCTTCTACAACTTACTCAGAAATAATGTATTATTTACATATTAGCTCCATTCTTTTAGAAGACAAAATAGTTATCGTAGCAAGTTCATTTCATTGAAGACAACAATCCATTAATGCAAAATACTCTAAATAAGGTACAGGTTACTTCTCTAATTTAACAAGAAATCATCATTATCAAGTGTAATGCGTAAGCCTGTTCCGAGAGTATCTGACCAAGACACCCATTACTTTATTTCATTTATTTCAGATGTAATCATTACAAATATGGAAAACATCCATGTGGCTCACCACGCTACTTTCCTATTTGTGTGTGTTAAGAAGCTAGAACGTGCTACACGACGAAGATTTTAGTGGTCGCCCGAATAGCCAAGGTCGTTAAGGCAGAAGCGTTGGAGCGATCTCGAACTGAAGCATCGCGGTTTCGAGTCCCGCCCAGGGCATGGTTGTGTGGTTCGTCCTTTCACCCCCTGTATTCATAGTTGCCATAACGTTTAATCAAATAGTGGTCGCTAATGACCTAGATGTTGATGAGACCGAAAATTTAGTAGTGCTACAACAGCTCATACTTAGTCGAATTATTTTTAACTTAAGAATATTTGGGGTTTTATAAAAAAAATCTGACGTACGACATATTTATAAGCAAACTTGACACTATCTTAGTAAAAATAAAGAAAAAAGTATGGAACAGTCTATACGACAAACTTGTTTTCAAAACTGTCTTTATTTCAAGCCGTATTACTTGAAAATAAATTATACTTCGAAAAACTTGTGCTTGACCGCATTTAAAAGATGTAATTTTGAAGAACAGATTTTTTTAAGGAAAAAATCTGTACCATCAGTATGTTCGTTGCAGGAAGATGTCGAAAACAACGTACAATTTCCGGAAATTTTACAATTCAACGAAAATCTTCCCTGCGCGATTCCTATAAGGTGCTATGTTTGCTCTGTCCGAGAGCACTAGATGTGCCCAAACAGCACGTACTGTCTCGCCCGCATTATCACGCTAAATTGTGCTAAAGTACCTAAATTTCGAAAAACATATCGACCTTATTTCAAAATCTGTCTTTAAGGAACTTATTTCATTACGAGAGAAAAATTATATCTTTTATATTTGAAGTGTGGGAAGACTCCTAAAAAACATTGAACTTTTGCAATTGTCGAATAATCAGGGTTTTTAACGAACATGAGACCTGCAACATTCTCTTAAAACTTTTTCATACCATCCAACAACAAAATTTAATAAAAATTGATGGAACCATTTTTATTCGGGGTATTTGAAAAATGTCCCGGCGTCTTCATGTAATTACCCTAAAATTAAAATATCGGTTTCGAAATCAACGTGACGCGATATCGGCCAAATCGATACGGGGATATCAATTCTGGCTGAATGGTTCAGCGGCTTCTGTTGTTCACAGACGGACGGACCGGCAGGCAGACAGACAGAAGACGGACGGACGGACGGACGGACGGACATTTTACCCGTCAATTGATTTTTCGGTATCAAGAACCCACCAAATACGGATTCTAGCGTCACTGCATTTTAGAGATTTTTTTCTCTAAATGTCGCAAACTGGACTTTTCACCAATTCGTTGCCCCCGCCCGGTTGAGTTGTCTGCCCAAATTCCGCGCAGCATTACAGAACTTTCTCTCCACTCCGTAGCTTGAAAGTAAAAAAATTGAAGGAACGTTCATTAATTTTGAACAAATTACCACCAGCACGATAAAGCATCCGTTTGCAAATCACATTAAAATAACAACGAAGTTAGATATAAAGTTTCAATAAACCTTCTAATTAAGCGTTGTAACATAATACTGAGCTTCTGAAATAGTACCAACGGGCCAAGATTAACGATTTCGCTGAGATGTGGAGTCAGTGACGCGAAGGTCACTGGACACATAAACAAGGAGTAAAGGAGAAAGGAGAAAGCAAGGAGTATTTTTTCTTGGTGGACCTAGACAGCGTGTTATTAATATTCTTTCTAATATTTGGATTAGACACAACAGACCGATCATCAACACTGGCGTCAACTCAGGTTAGTTAGGAGCACATAACTGAATCTCTTCGCTTACGAAGGGAGGCTCGAGTGTCGTGAAACACCTCTAGAGCACGCTTTTAATCGAACGGAAATAGCAGAGACTCCATGACCCGTTGCACATTCAGTTAATACAATCATTAGTGGGTGACATTAAAACGAATGAAAAACAGCTACATTATTTGCATTAAACTATTAGGAGAGAAGCTGACAACACGGTTTAATTCGTGTCAAGGGACCTTCAATGCAATGCGTTTCATGTAGTTTCCTTCTGAAAAGAAGAATTAAAGTAAATGCATGTAGTAATTGTGTGTAGTCTTGAAAGCACATCCAGTAGAAAGAAGGCCCTTTTAGTTTCGTATTCTGCTCGTAACAAAGGGGATATCGTAAATATTTTCCCAGGCTTCCAGTAGAACAATATCCGCGTCGCTCGCTCCCTTCGCCGCTGCTCGGCTGCGCTTCCGAGACGCCGAGAGAGACTCCACGGCGGTTGTGCTCTGTGGAACCACCAGCTGCCGCTGCTACTGCGACGCCGACAGGAGTTGGCGCAATTCATACACTTTATATTAGAAAGGGCTCTATAGCAATGTTCGAAGTGAGCCTGTCGCTAGTGGTTGGCGGGCGGGCGCTTGCGAGGCTGCTTGCGGCGCGCAGAGGGCGCCCGGCGGCGGCTCCCCTCTCCAGCCACGAAACCTCTTCGAGTGTTTTCGGCACTACTATGTTGGTTATGTTGCCAAAGCAATCTTTTGGAAACTTGCGTCCGCGATGCTATTGTCAACGACCGCCAAAAACGTGTCTGTTTTGGAGAATGTCAATAAAATTTCCAAAACGACACGGGAAAATTGTCATAAAACATCGAAACAGTTAATTACGTTGTAGCTAGTACAGAAAGTGAGTATTTGGCGAAATAATAAGATGTTGAAGGGCG